ACCGTTAAAAATTACAATTGCTGATAAATCAATTCACAAAATTTGGTTCGTAAGAAGAAACATAGACATAATGATTGAAAAAGAACCATTTAAAACCTCAACTATATATCAACAAGATTCGGGAATAGATTTAGCAATAGGAAATAATTTCCTTAAATTATATCAACCATTATTACAAAGAAATAATCATATAAGTGTCAATCACCCTACAAAAGGTATTATAAAAACTGAAATTATCAAACATTATGATCTTATTAAAATAATCAAACAAGAAGTTGGTTTTCAATTATGCATATTACTAACATTTACCAAAGAAATTGCTGAAAAACAACTTGAAGAAGTATGTAGTGCAAACCCGTTAGATTATTTAAAAAATAGAAATAATCAAGAAATAATAATATTATTAAAAAACTCTAACAATGAAATTAATGTTCCAAATAAAATTTCATATAGTATAAAAGATGTCTCTGAATTTAAAGAGGAATGCACCCAACTACTAGAAAAATGAATCATTCGACCTAGTACGAGTCCTCATTCTACACCCGCATTCTATGTAGAAAAAAATAATGAAATAAAACGAGGTAAACGAAGAATGGTTATTAATTACAAAAAGATGAATGATGCTACTATTGGAGACTCCTACAAATTACCACGAAAAGAATATATTTTAGAAAAATTAAAAGGAAATACACATTTTAGTACATTTGATGCAAAATCCGGATATTGGCAATTACGCTTACATGAAAATACGAAACCACTAACTGCTTTTTCATGTCCTCCTCAGAAATATTACGAAGGAATGTCCTTCCACTCGGTTTATAGCAGACACCAACAATGTATCAACGATTCATGGATACAACCTTAAATGGTTTAGATCATATTTGTCTTGTATACATTTACGATATAATTGTTTTTACAAAAGGAAATGAACAAACACATATTGATGCAATTATCAAAGTTTTACAAAGAATCAAAGAAAAAGGTTTAGTTTTATCAAAAAAGAAATCAAAACTTTTTCAATCTATAGTTGAATATCTCGGTTTAAAAATTGGAGAAAATGGACAACTACCATTAACAGAAAACATACGAGAAAAATTAAATATGTTTTCTGATAACCTTTAAAATAGAAAACAAATACAACGATTTCTTGGTTGTTTAAATTATATTGCAGAGCAAGCATTTTTGAAAAATTAGCAAAAGAAAGAAAGGTTTTACAAAAGAAAATATCAGAAAAAATACATTGGTCTTGGACCAATGCAGATACTTGAAAGACCCTAACTTTCTAAACTTTCGTATTTCTGAAAGACCCAAACTTTCATACTTCACAATAATGTTACTCCAAAAACATGCTACATGCATATTCATAAACAATATTTTGCATTGATAGTGTGATTACAAAAGACTGGATACAAACCGACTATTACAAAGTGTTATATATTACATAACTACCCAGGATACTATAGTTTTATACTAACATGAGTACCAAATATAATAGTTTCAAACTATTTAAAATCTTCTATCAGTATATAACTATACTGGTTGCTTATTGCCTGCAAATTTGTTAAAACATTGAGAGGGGTAAGCGATAACGCTTAGTGAGTTCAATAATAGATACAATATAACGTTATGCCATATATATATACATCAATATGGCAGAAGCAAAGAGGAACAACAAAGGCATATGTGAAATCATGTGACAAGCTTTCCATAACAATCAATTACTCGATTCAAAGATATACAGTCAAAGAGACTTAACAATTTCAATACTTGATAAACATCAATAACGCTTCGGCCCAAATGGCACAGAAGACATACAGAAGACATACAATTTCTGATTAACATTATGGTAGATTTCAGGCTTATAGCCCTGTCTAACCATCAGCCAATGCCATAGAATAGAAGTCATTCTCTTACGAGACATGCTCTACATGGCCAGAGGCTACATACCTTCAGCCCTATCTAACTTTCTGCCAATGCCATAGAATAGAAGTCATTCTCTTAGGAGACATGCTCTACATGGCCAGAGGCTACATACCAGTATCACCGTGAATCTAAGTCCTTTCACTGATCACATGGTCAAAGGTACAACTTTGCTACCATAATAGCGGAAATAATAACACGAGATGATAACACGGAAAAGCACATAGCACATATAACACATAACATACAATTGTTCCTATATATTGAACTCACCGTGAAATAACCGAGGATTAAATGATAATTTGGGCAGCACTACGGCTCTAAATATGACTTTCTGTGACGAAACCGGGAATTTTAGTTGAAAACCGGGCCTTACTCGGTCAGAGTTTCGACTGGAAAGATGATTTTCTCAGGAACGTCGGGGCGTCGGGACTTGCTTTGGGTGTCGGGGATGATACCGGGACTTCGGGGGTTAAAAGTGGGCTAAAGGAGTTTTTTAGAGTGAGAGAAATGAGAAAAGTATAACCAAAATACGGCTGCCTTCGCATCTATTTATAGGGTGAAAATTTGAGATTTACCTCGTGAACCAAGTATGTTCACCTTGTGAATTCGATCCTGATCATCTCCTAGGCTTGCCGTGTATCTTCTAGGCTCGAAAGGTGTCATGCAACGAATTCACCTCGTGAATTTCAATGTTCACCTCGTGAGGGTCTTGAAGTTTGTGCCCCGAACTTCAAAAATCCATATCTTTCGCATACGAACTCCGTTTTTGATGTTCTTTATATCCACGCGTAGGTGAAATTATGCTCTACAACTTTCATTTAGACTCTGTCGGCTAATTTTGATTTTATTTTTATTATTATATTTTTAACAGACCGGGATAGGAAAAGTCCGTTAAAAATTCATAACTTCTTCATCTGACGTCCGTTTTCTTCTGTCTTTTTACCGTTGAACTACAATCGACTAGATTTTCGATTCTCGTTTAGGTTGTGTCGGCTAAAAATCACTCGATTTTTATTTCGAGTTTTTAGTTGTCTACTGTTATACCGAAACTTAGAAAAATCATAACTTCCTCATACGGAGTCAGATTTAGACGTTCTTTTTATGAAAGTTCTCGGTTTAACGAATACTACGACTTTCATTTAGATTACTAAGGCTAAAAAGTAGTTTATCGAAAACTCACTTTTTACGTCATTCGGCGTCGTGCCGATTTTGTCGCGGATCTTCGATTGGTCATAACTTCTTCGTTATAACTCGGATTTCGATGAGTTTTTCGCCTAAATGTTTCTAACAAGATTCTTTACAACTTTTAATAATAAAATTTTACTTATTTCAAAATTTATATTCTCGTTAAATTTCGATATTTGTCTTTTAATTGGAATCTCGTAAGACTTCCAATATTTTCCGATTGATTCTAAACATAGTTTTACTTCATTTCTAGTAAAAACCATCTGTTAGAACTCAATACTTAAATTTCATATAATATTATTCACTTTTAAAAATACATAACACGATAACTGAACGTGTATGTTACAATACTATTTTGGTACAAAATATAAAACAAAGAATTCAAGTTCTCCCTACTTTATATAATTCAAAAATCGTAGATTTTTTAATAGTGGAGATAGATGCATCACAAGACACTTGGGCAGGATGCCTAAAAGCAATTATACATGGAAAAGTATTATTGAGACTGGATAATGAGGGAAACCTCGTATCTAACCCATCAAAAGCATACAATGATGAAGTATACAGTGATATGAATATATCACGAAAAGCATACAATGATAAAGTATACAACAGAAGCAAGCAACATCGCTACTAAGACTCTTGAAGCAGTACAAAAATATAGCAGAAATTCCTTCATGAAAAACTAATGTAAGCAATGACGAAAGCAAGCACTATTGAAGAAAATATTTGTCCTTTCGGTGGTGAGAGGATTGACGTAAGCCATGATGAACAAAGAAATTATTGAAGCAAATATTCGTCCTTTCGGTGGTGGGAGGATTGACGCATTGAAGCCATTATTGAAGACACGTGTCCTTTCCATGTGGAAGGAACTGTAAATATTATTTGTAATTATTTAGAAAGTGTCGGTAGTAGTGTCCATTACGAATTATATTCGTAACAATGTAATGATGTGACATAAAGTTAGTAATGTGACATAAAGTGTGTAAGACCCCTAATAGTCTAAGGGTCTAAAATGTAAATATAGTTTGTCGTCTTGCAATAATGTAATCGTCTATAATGTAACCGGCTCTTTAGAGCCTATAAATAGGGCTTTGCCCATGGAATAAAGGAGGAGTTATTTGTGAGTTTAAAACTTGAATTAACCCTTAACATTTTCTCTCTGTTGAAATAGATTTCTATGTCTGAATAGCAAGTTTTCTATCCAAAACCATGCGTATAATCAAAGAAATCTATCATCAGGATCAATTCGATGTCATTCAGGTATAACCATCCAATCCATCCTAAATCTATTAATTTTATCTTTCCGTTTTAATTTTGGTATCAGAGCAAAAATATGGTATCGTTATTTTATATTAGGAAAATTTTGCTTCGCCTTCGAGTATAGTTCATCCCTTCAGTGAAATCTGATAAAATTGGAACGATACAGAGAATATTAGCATGGACCTGCGCAAGGATGACACGCACAAATCGAGAAATGGTCCAAATTTGATTCTTCTTCAATTACCGTTATGTCTCTGTTTCTTTTTTGCCCTAATTTTGAGTTGATTTTTGATTCACCAGCTTTAAAGAAATACCGCTATAATTTTGAGTTGATTTTTGATTCACCAGCTTCAAAGAAATACCGCTAATGGAAATCCGCTTCAACTTCGTACCATTGTTTGCCCTATCTCGCTTAAACAACTGCCAAAATCTTTGTTTAGGGCATCAAATTGTTGGCTTGTTTCTCCGATTCTCACAAGCTACGACAAGGTACTTTTAATGACTTCCGATATAAACTGTTACTTATTTCTAGTTTTTATGCAGTTTGTGATGCGTATGTATATGATTCACATATAGATGGAAATGTGCTCCTTAACATCCTTGAATACTTTGGTCGAATCAATTAATAATCAGGCATCAAGTTTATGATACAACTTTGATTTTAACATGTTGAGATTTGGACTTTTCATGTTTATCTGATTGTATTCGTTAGCTTTTGTTGGTTGTCTTTCTTCTAATTGATGCTGTAACATCCCAAAAATACAGTCCAAAAATTTCATTTTTATTTATTAAAGAACCATAATTACCAAAAACATAAGTCGTAGTACCAATCAGAGTATCACATCAAAACTCATTTCAAATTATCATAAACATCTGTCATATATATATATATATATACTAGGTTAAAACCCGTGGAACCCACGAGTGCTGTTTTTGAATTGAATTTAAAAATTAATTATTTAATAAAATAATATTTCAATAATTCTGATAACTTATAAATTGTAATATTGAATATTTCAATAAATTTTTTTATTTGTAAGTATTTAATTACAAAGTAAATTAGAAGTATTTAATTAGGAATGAAGATTTTTGAAAACTCTTTTTTTTATGCATGATTCTTGTTGGACATATGCAGATGATGCATTACCAATGTGTGTAATGAAATTAACATAAAATACAACAATACGTAATTATAAAAAAATACAGTAATATGATGGATTAAGTGTGATTTGCTAAAATTGAATAAAACGACGTTACAAAAAAGTTGGCTACAAATTTCGAAAAACTTCCTTATAAACAACATTGGAAGTTTTATTTGTGAGTTTGCCATCTTTATCTAAAATTAATAATTTTAATCCTTCTCTGCTCTGAACTCTAGATAAGGCAACATACAATTGTCCATGTGAAAAAACTGGATCTTTCAGAAACAAACCAACCTTTGATAACGATTGTCCTTGACTTTTATTAATAGTCATTGCAAAACATACGGCCAAAGGAAACTGTCTTCTTGTGAATTTGAAGGGAATCTTTTTTTCTGATGGAGTTAAAGACATTCTTGGAATAAAAGTCCGATTTCCAATATTAGTTCCAGTTATTATACGTGCCTCAATAACACGTTTGCCCAATGATAACACCTGTAGTCTTGTGCCATTACATAAGCCGTTTTTCTGATCAATATTTCTCAGTAACATTACTGGAACACCAATTTTTAAAACTAAATTATGATTTGGTAAACCGGATACTTTGAGACCATTTAATACATCAGGAGAGTATAGATTTGCATCAAATCGATCATGGAGAAATTCGGATTCACATATGTTGTCTGAACTTAAATATTCAACTTCATCTCCTGGAAACTTCTTAAGCAAACGGTCGTTTATTTCCTGGACAACTTCATTTTTCGGAGCAAGTATCGCTCTTTCTTGGAAATAATTTATATCGCTATAGTTCTCTAGAATTGGAGGATATACAAACTCAATTAAGGAACCTATAGGATCATGTGAATCATTAATGAGAATATCATCCGGAATATCGATAATAGTTTCACCGTCGTTCGGACCACCAAGTTTTCCTTCACCTATATCCAACAACCAATTTGCAAAATCTCTTATTTTTCCTATATCTGATTGATCCCTTCCAACAGTTAGCCTCATGTTTTTTGTTAATCTATGGACTTTGCAATGTTCCCATAAATATGAAGAACTCAAAGAAGCATTTACAATGTTCTGTCTACTGCCACCCGGAACAACAGGTAGAATCTGTCTAAAATCTCCTCCAAAGACAATAACTTTCCCTCCAAATGGAATATTTGAGATTGTTGAATTTACGCACCTTAATAAATCCTTCAAAGTTCGATCTAAAGCTTCAAATGCATGCTTATGGACCATAGGTGCTTCATCCAAAATTATTAAAGAGGTTTTTCTTATTAAGCTTGCCAACTCACCGTCTGGATTTATGTTACAAAAAGAATCCTCTGTAAGCTCAAATGGAATTATAAATCGAGAGTGTGTTGTTCTACCACCGGGCAATAATAAGGAAGCACTACCGCTTGAAGCAACATTTAATACAATATTTCCTTCAGATCTAATTGCTGCAGATATTGTTTTCCATAAAAAAGTTTTACCCGTTCCACCATAACCGTAAACAAAGAAGACACCTCCTTTATTTTCTTGAATAGCACTCATGATGTTTAGGAAAATATTACGTTGCTCATTTGTTAATGCAAGAAACATACGATCATAGTCATTCTTTATCACGGGAACGTCGTAATCTAGCTCCTCGGTGATAAGCCGATTGTTTGAAGAAGAAACGGATTCAACATCTGGGTATGGCATGTTTTTGAAGCTTTTGAGAGTAGAGTTGTTTCGAAGTAAAATTTGTTGTATTTCGAACAAAGTTAAGTTCTTAAGTTCATCTACTCTGAGTGACAATTCTGCACGAAAATATTAAATAATTAATAAAATATGTCGTCGATATTTAATAATTTTATTAATAATTATTTAATGGTTGTTGAATAATAAAAATAAATTAATTTAAAAAAAATAAGAAAAAATGTTATACCTGCAGACTTAAATCTTTGTCGTTGTCTATATAGAATTCCATCTGCCAAATATTCCCATGTATTTTCCCAAACGACTTCTGGTTTTGACATACTATTACACATCAACAATGTAGCAAATAAAAAGCGTAGATAAAAACCAGATCCAGAATGATTTGCTTCTTTAATTGCATCAATGTATTCCTTGTCATCATCTAATAGCCCGAGTGCATAACAAGCATCTCTAAAAGAAGAATGTGTTTGACCATTTACCGTGCGAATATCATCAAATGATGTTGGTCCTTTTACTTTATTTAAAAGAATCCTTAAGAAATATGGTTCACCTAGTTTAGGTGAAACAGAATGAATTCTACCGATGGCTTTTCCTACTTTCCTTCGCTTCCAAAACCGACCATTTAATATCCAAACAAACTTTGTAGGGAATTCAACATATGTGAGTTTTCGTGCTTCACTGTCGATTGCATTACACTCCATCCAAGCTGTGAACTTTGAAGCCGCAACAGAAGGTTTGTCAAGAACATCATCAATATCATCGTCTTCGCCATATACAATCTGCTGTTGATTAGGAAGATGAAAAGGTAGTCTGACAACAGAAGGATATCTGCAATGAACATCATATGTAAAAATTCGCCATGATGCGTCACATGCTGATAAATATCTACAATCGTAATATTCAGCTATTTCATCGACCGCATCATTATTTTCACATTGATTGTTGGTTGGTACAACAGCAACTGTAGCTCTATCAGGACTCTTATTTATGTATTTAAACAAATACTTTATAGAAGATCCCTGATTGCACCATTCAATATTAATATGTGCCTGATATCTTTTCAATAGATATTTGTTGTATGGAACAACATTTCTATTATCCAACCTTACACCTGATTTTTCTACAAAATGACCATTGTTTCTCCGCCTATATAACGGAAAACCATTCTGATCAACAGACGAATGATTACTGAATTGTTTTGGAAAGTTTTTAGAGCACTTTTTATCCACCATGCATGGACAATTCATATTTTCAGCTCCACATGGACCATGAACCATAAACTCATTTACAAGTGAATACAATTCAGGATCTTCAATTCTGTCAGGTATCTCTGCTGAAATTATCGGATCGATAAGTTCAACAGTTGGTAGCTTGTTGTCAGAATGCATGAATAGACATATATGACTATGCGGCAAACCTCTTTTTTGGAATTCAATGGTATAAACATCTGTAAAAGAATTTGCCAAAAAAAAGAAAATGTGATTAGATATTAAAACATATTTAAAATATAATAATAAGATCAATGTTTTATAAAAAATTTAAAAATATAGTTTTAATTACATGCTTGAACTTTGCCGAAAATTTGATTCTCCCTTAAGTCTTTAATGAATGCATCAAGCTTGATCTTGAACAACCTACATAGTATATCAGGCCTGTCTTCTGGTTGAAGTGAAGTATCCTTAAGAAACCTTTTAATATCAGGCCATTTGGGATTACACGTAAAGGTTATGAAGAAATCAGGATATCCAAACCATTTACATAGTGACATGGCATCCAAATAGTTTTGCAGCATATATCGTGCACCTCCGGTAAAGGATGAAGGTAATATGACACGTTGGCCGACATTCGAGATATCAGTCGTTCCTTGAGCTTTTTGGTTACGTAAATTTTCATAAGAATCACATCTAAGAACATGTTGTTGCCTACGTATGTAGTACATTCTCTCCGTTTCCATCATAGTGTAGGCATCTACCAGAAATTGTTGAAACAACCTTCTTGAATTAAGTATGAGAGAGAACGAATGATCTCTGTCTTGAATCCTATAAGCGAAATATTCTCTCATTGTACATTTCGCACGCTTGCTGTTGTTCGTAAATGACACACCTCTATGAAGAATGTCAACACTATAACCATCATCCCCATATGGAAATAGCAATGGATATTGGAGAGGAAGATACGAAGGATGCAATTCACTAATACGTTGTAGACAACCATTTTTTGTTTGAACGACGATATCCCTCTTTTCGATTGAATCCGAAATGTCACCAATTATTAAAGCAGCAACCTCAGAAGGAGTCGGTAGGTTATATGTTCTTCCATCTTGCTCCCTTCTCCCGATAAGTCGTAATTTCATATCAACTTCTAGATTTTTCTGAAAAGTATCTCTTACCATCCTATAAGATCTAACCAAGACATTATTTGAATCCATCACCTTAATATCTTCAATAATATCACTATCAGTTGATGTTGATTGATCCTTTTCATCACTAAAATAAATATATTTATACATAATATTAGTAATATATATATATATATATATATATATATATATATATATATATATATATTAATAATAATACTAAATTATGAATAAGAAGTTTGAGAAAATACCGAAAACATCTTTGTCTATTTGTAATTTCGTTGTCAGTGTCATAAATGTATAACTGAGAGAATTTTGGTTCCGATCCTTTTGCTGGCAAAAGACTTCCAATACTATGATAATTTTAACCACCCAATCTGAAAATGTATGGAGCGTTTCCTCTATTGATTGAAGAATCAATTTTACCACTCATCGACGTGAAAGAAAACATTGAATTGTAACGTCGAATGTTTTTCATGAAGTGTTTGCTTTTTGAATCCATATTTCGGAACATTCTTTCATAAGTCGGGGGTGCATTCTTTAAATCTGGAAGTTGAACTTTGCCGTAACCACAACATAATGAATAATCCGTGTTCTCCTTTTCTTTACCTCTAATGGATTCATTTCTCCATAACTTTGCACGACATGTTTGACATACAACAACTTGATCACCATGATCCAAATATTCTGTAAAATAAAAGCGTTGAATAAAATATCAATGAATTTTATAATTATATACAACATAGTATTTGAAATGTAAAATGGATATTATTTTTTGATTACCATTTGAGATACCAACTATAAGATTTTCATTGTTCACTTGATGTATATTTTCTACATCTTCTGTCAGATCAATCAATGGGATAGGGGATAAATGTCTTGTCTTCGTTTTTAATTTATGACATCCTGGATTTAACTTGATTGATGATGAAGAAGTTGTTACTGTAGATGCATTTTTTGATGTCATTTCATTTGAAAGTACATGGTACTGTCTTTTGTTTGCTAACTTGAAGTGGTATATTTATCGAAACTGATGTTATCTGACCAAAAATATATATATATATATATATATATTAAATAAATAAATAATTAAATAAATAAATATATATATATATATATATATATATATCCCGATTATATACATAATGGATAATAGTATATTTTAAAAACCATAAATAATTACCATTTCTAATGTTAGATAACGGATTTATAACATTTGTAATGTTAGAAAATGGAGTTCTAACATCTGTAAAGGAAGGACAGTATTGTATGGTTGTGTTATGCTTTGCAGGTGTTGTAAATGTATTAACATTTTGAGTTTGACGAACAATGTTGATTGATTGATCTGCAAATAGAAATAAATTATAAAACTTGTAAATATATGTATACAACTATATAACAGTATTTTTTAAGAAATGCTGTAATGATGTACTTGGAACGTTCGATGTTGTTTTTATTTTCTTCGATCTTTTATTTTCCAAATATATTTTTCTTTGTCTTCTTTTCTCTCTGGCCTGCATGTGGTACATGTTACTGTTGTTTTCTGCATAAGAAGACATAGGATAGGATATGAATTGTTTATTAGGTAAATAATATGTTTATATAATACAATTAAAGTTAGTTAAAATTAAATAAATAATAATAATAAAGTAAATGTATTTAAAAAGTTACCTTTATTAATTCGTTTATTAAAATGTGTAACAAAATTTGCAAATATTAATTTATTCATTTATAATATTTTTTAAACAAAATAGCCAATTGAAATATTTAGAATATTAAATAATATAAAATAGAAATTTTATATTTGTTTATATTGTGTAACTCTTCAATAATCTTGAAAAATATATGTGTTACGATTGTGTATTTGATTGTTCCATCACTTGTGGTTTCCTGTAGGGCTACGTATATTTTTTAAACAAATTAATCTAGAAAAAGAAGTTTCAATAATCTACCAACAACTATCTCTCTACAAAAGTCTTATTCATCACTCACTCTGTCTATGTTTCTCTCTCTGTGTTTGTGTTTTCATATCAGGAAGGTAAAAAACCAATTCGTTTCACAGAAAATCTGAAATTTGGATGTTTGTTTACAACGACTCCAATCTTCCATAGATGCTCGTCGAAGATTAGCCGTCAATGAATCTCATCGATTCCCCCATAATCGATCGCAATCAACAACGAATGAAAGGGAACCTAGAATATTTCATCTACAATGCCGTCTCGTCGTCCGATTTGGTCATACTCAGGTTTGAAAAATACGATCTGAAGGTAGACTCTCCTTCTTCCAGTGCCACAATCAATTATTTCCATGATGACCATCATGACTCATCATCCTCGTTTCCAACCTAGGGTTTATTCAATTTACATCTGCTCTTTCCCCAATTTCAACCAATCGTGGGTTCGGATGATTTCAGGGGTTAAAACCCTAGATCTCCAATGAAACAATGAAGGTAAAATCATGTGATAGACGAAAACCGTGATGATTAAAAATTGATTATTCATCATAAACATCTATTCCAACATATTTTTTTACAGTTAGTAAAATGAAAGTTTATTTAGATTTCGGTAACACTTTTTGTTCTAGTATTTCCATATCTCGATTAAACATCGGTTAATTGCAACTGTTTCACAAGAGATAAAAGATTTTGCTCTATTATTTGTATATATTATAACAAAGATCTTCAAAAACCAAGAACACATAAGTTTTTTTGAACTTGTATGAAACAGTTTGTTGTGAATTTCAACCATAAATTCATAGAGAAACCAATGTAATGTAAACTCATAATACTAACCTGACATATGGATATGGAAATCTTGCAGGAAGTAAGACGGCTTTAAAATGAAAGCAGTTGATTTGTGAACTGGAATGAGGATTAGAACTTGAATGAAGCACCCTGATGTAAGTTTGATGAAAAAAGAATCGCAGAAGCAATTGAAACATAAAGAAGACGAATGAGGAGTTTCAAAATTTTCGGTTTCACGTTCTGAGGTAAAGTTATATATATATATTGGAAAAAGGTTTTGATTTTATGATTTTATTGTTGTTGCATCTTTATTGGATAAAATTTTGTTCCTGATTTTTTGGGATTTATAAGATTACAACTGAAATTTAGTTTAATATAAGATATTCATCTAAAAAGGGAGTATAGAATATTAGGAAATAGAATCTTGAATATACGAAATTTATAGAAGATCAGTAAATATGCTGACACGATTACAAAAATGTATGAATTAATTGAAGAAAATAAAAGATATAAATTTTGTTTAGAATTGGTTATTGATTATTTAATAAAAATAACATATTATCGTGACAAAAATAATAGTTATTCATAACTCATTTGCCATGCTCCAGAAGGATAATTTTAAAAAATGGGTCCATTTTGCATATTCAGTATCGAGATGGAGTGTGCTGGTGGAAAGGGTGTCTTTGCTGAGACTACACATGATCCTTTTATTCAATTTTTAATTCATATATAAAAAGAAATTTACTCAAGTAAATTGTTATGTTAAAGTTTTTGATTGCATTCTTTTTACCTGTACTTTTTCTGGATTATTACAACAATGTGTTTTTTTTTCTGTGATAGCAAAAGAAGTTTGAATGCCTATGTGCTTATCGAATGAATTGCAATTAGATTCAGAGCATTTGCAACCTTTAATATAACAAAAGATCTTAGGGGTATTTTCGGAAAATTGTTTATTAAAAACAAAAAATCTGGAATTTTTTTTTGATTCGAATCATTGCTACTTTAAATTTACTCATTGTTGTTACAGTATTGTACAAGTGAAAGTAAAGAAGTTACATTGGAAGGGAGAGTTCAGTTTGAAAGAATTCAGGTCATTACTTCTGTAAAAATATTATCGAAAAAGTAAGTTGATATGTAGGGATAACTATAAGGTTTTAATTCATTGTATTATTTTCTACAGGCTATGCAAAGAGATTATAAGTTAAGCTCATACTCACTGAATTCTGTTTCAGCACCTTTTCTTAATTAACAGGTATTATTATCACTATCATTTTTTGTTTAAATATTGAGCTAAATGCTAGAAATAAAAATGTATTTCAAGTATTTTGATTATTATAGCATCCTAATTTCATTTATTATTATCACAAAATTGTACTTTGATAAATATACCAAGTTATAACAATATAATTCAAATGTAAAGCAATTTTCATTTGTATAATAAGGTAAACTTTTATAAGTATAATAGGGGTAAAATGGGTAAATAGTCATTTTATCAAGACATAACAGTTTAGACTTCATTTATTTTACTTTTTAAATAAAAGAGCCAATCATTGCTAATTAAGAGTCTAAATAAAAACTATTTACAAAACAAAAATTAAATATTAAAATAAAACATACTACTACACCAGTAGATACGAATAGCAATACACTTCAAAGGGGAAAATCAACAATAGCATTATGCTTAAAGGAAGAGACAACAAAGGCATTATACTTTTTAACTAAAAGGGGTAGCCAAAAAATCATAAAAACCTTATACTACTTAACAACCTGGATGAGATGTAACATTTGAACAATAATAACCCCATAGGCAATATCGGCCAAAAATTTTAAATATTAAGAAAAAATTCAAAATATATTTACAAGCAAATAAACTTCAAAATATATTTAATTTGAGTTAAAACCAAAATCAACTAACTTGTCCACTTTAAAACAATAAAAATATCCAAAAATATTCAAAACCAATAATATTTCACATCCTAAATATCCCAAAATAAAAATCATACCAAGCAATCAAAATATCTTTAAAACCAAAACAAATGATCAAAATATATTAAATGTGTGTTATAACCAATAGCAACTCACTTTTTCCAATTTTGGAATTAAGAGTGGAGTTTCCTCTCCGGTTGACTTTCTTTTAGCCTTAGTTGAACTTTCTTTTAGCCTTAGTTGAACTTAAATCATCTCCAGAATCAACATCATAAATTTCTTGGAGGTTGCGCTTCAAATCACCTGATATTTTGCTTGGACTTGTTGCGGTTGACTTATCAACTGTTGAGGGTGTAAAACTTTCATCTGTTTGTGAGATCACATCCTAATTTAAAAATTAATAATAATAAGTGTTTAATTCCAAATAAAAACTAATCTAAATAAAAGTTTATAAAAGGAATTGAAAAACCTTTTGAACAGGCTGTACAACATCATCTGATTCCAAAGCAACTTGATTTAAGGAGACCGATTGAATACTCTAAAAAATAAAATGGAAATATGTTAATCGTTATGTATTTTAACAGTAAAGAATTGTAAATTTTCAACAATAAAAGGTTACATACCATTAGTTCTATTTTACTTTCCAATTTAGAAACAATGGACATATCTTCTGTAACTCTGAGAACTGTGTAGATGTTATTATAGTTGTTGACATTGTATTCTGTAATATCTACAACAAAACCAAACTTGCGGTTTTTCAACACGTTAAGTTGCATTGGAAATAGTGCATCACTGTCTCCGGCCTGTAAGATATATTTTAATAAATTCAAAAAAAAAAGTAAATGTTTTCTGATTTTAAGGTATGAATAATATACCGCATCATGTATCTTTTTCAACTCGTATGCACTTATATTTAACAGCCTCTTTGCTTCCCTATCAAAAGAGTCAATCCAATGGTTCCAGTACAATCTTGTACGTTGATTGGAATTATATACCTAAAACAAAAAAATTATGTCATTGTTAGTGTTGTTTTACAGATTGACAAAATTAATAGAAATAAATATGTGTTTACTTTATAACTGTCTGAAATTCAGATTTTTTGCATTGTGCATTTGTACACTCGACAACCATAGTTTCTGAAATTCCCTCAGGGTTGGTATACGAATGATTGGCTTTGGGAACAGGGATTATTTTTTTTCCACATTTTTTGCATGCTTCATAATACCATGGTAGATTCTGCCTTATATTAACAATGGAAGCAACTAATAAAAACTTCATTTCCTGTATCATATTAAATGTAAAACTTATTAAAATAAATTATGCAAAAATAAAATGTAAAACATATCAAATAATGCAATATACCTTAATTGGTTCGGTGATCTCACAAACTGTTTTTAATGGAAAATTGCCCTTAAAGTCATCTGTATATGAAGAAGAGTAGCTTTGAAGTGTAGTTATGCTTTTTTCAGTTATACCGAAATTGTCATGACATTTCAACCTGTGATGTTTAATTTAAATTCAAGAATATTAGGATTTATGTTTTTTTAAGTTAAAATACATTATAAAAAAATAAAAAACAATTGGAAACTAACTTATTTTTAAACTCATTAATTTCATAAATGTCAGAATTTATGAACAATTTCGTTACTTCAAAATGACTTTTAGCTTCACCAATACCTGTAAAAAATGTATATCCAATTAATAAAAATTATATAAAAACAGTAAATACAAACCATTCCAAATGTTTAGCTTCAAAAACTGCATCACGATAACAACACAATTAACCGTCGGGTTATTTTTTAGGTATTCTGAAATTTGATATGCTTGACTTCCAAAAATAGTAACCTTCAGATGTACAGAACTAAATAAACCAAAAAATCGTATATTAATATTAATTTGTGATTAATTAAAGATAATAAATAATAAATAAATAATAAAATATAATCTCACTCTAGGTTGCTAAGAGTGAGTTTTATATAATGCTTGGATGGTACTGGATTTGAAGTTTCAAGAGGCCTAAATGACACGATATGTCCAATAACATCTACACAACAGATAACACAACATAAACTGTTGAATTAAAATCATAATATTTAAATAATAAAATTTATAACCAAGAAAACAAATGATAAAAAATGATTTTATTAATATTTTATAACTAACCAAAGAATGTGTCTCTTGGGCATGTTTGTTCTATGATAGAATTAAAGTCAACAAACATAAATCCATTGACCGGACCCGAGAAATCATCACATTTTTTTAGGATGCTTTTCCAATCCAAAGTTAAGGTCTGTTTATGACCTGTATAACTAAAACCATTAGTAACAGCAGCCATATTGGGTTTTATAACTATATAACTTTCATCTTCCTTTAAAAGATGACGAAATCTGGAGAAATTCTGATTGAAGACACGAGCATGGTATTGTGTACCCTGTTTAAAAAAAACTAAAAATTATTATTTTCATGAAACATGTCTAATATTGAATGATGAATAAAAAATATATGAAATACAACAAACCTCCTCGTCCATCAGGATCATTTCAATCGAACAAACTTTATTATTTCTGACAAAGTTCCAAATTTTAAGCACCCGAACCTTGATATGTGATTTTTCATCTATCTGGTCAATGTTATTTAGGTAAACCTTATTTCCTATATTCATTTTCTGCAAGAAAATTTAAACCATATAGAATTGTAAGGAAAATTAGCAACCTAACTAACAATTAAAACAGAAAAATTATAAATCAGCACCTAATAATTTATAAATCAGCACCTAATAATTTATAAATCAGCAACTAACGTAAAGAACATCCTAACTAACAATTAAAACAGAAAAATTATAATCAGCACCTAATAATTTTTTCTTAAAGTAAGTAATATATATTTTTTAATGTGTAAACCAAATGAGTAGATTTCTTACAGACCCTTGTTTATACGTAGGGTAACTTGTATGCTATTATTAATCATTTTATTGAGATTGTATTTAGATAAATACAAACAAATTTTAAAATTTCATACCATCAAAACAAAAGTTACTGTGCAAGACTGACCATTTAGAATTTTAATAACTTTGTAGGTCAACTCCAATGGTTTGGCATATCATGTCAGAATTATGGGTTAATTCACTAATTTATAGTAATGAACTTGAAGCTGGATCACAACAATCATGTTAAAGAAAAAATAGTTCTCATGTTCATTAGTTTTTTCGTATACATCTACATTAATACGTAAATAGACAAAGTAAAAATAATTGACATCATAAATTAGATTTAATGTAACAGCAAATCAAAGTAAATGTAACACCAAAACAAAAAAAAAATAATGTAATAGTAAAGTTTCAGATCTGAAAAAAACTATTTTTTATTTTTTTAAAGAAAATGAACTTGTCATGTTCATTAGTTTTTCGTCTTTTAAACTGAAAAGGTAGAAGAAGTAGACGATTAAGAAGAATTACAAAAAAGAAGAAGAAGAATAGCAATCATACAATGAGAACGTGATAGATACCGATAAATAAGACCATGAAGGGAATAGAAATATTTGTAATTTTGATATTTGAATACACTAACCTGATATTTATTTATTGAAGCGTTGCAGAATCAAGAAGAATGAAGAAGAATACGTTTGCTGTGATTTCTATGAAGCAGAATTGTTATGGATCAGAATGGTAAAAACAAAATAACTGTATAAATGGTATTTACGTTTGCTGAGAAGAATACTGCAGATTTTTAGGGATTTAGTGATTGCAATATATTTAATTTGCAATCAAAATAAACAAACTTTCAAATTTAATCGTGAATTTCAAATCTGATTTTTGATTAACATATTTTTTCAAATTATTTCCATAATTTTTATTCATTTAAAAATAATGGTTGAATATTTTGAATGCAGTTGACTGCTCAAATTTCCGGATTTTTTGCATTAGTTTGAACTTTGATTTAATTTGGATTGAATGGCATTTACGTAAATATAGATGAATAAATGAGCGGGAAAACTCGATTTTGGGGGTCCTTAGAGAGTGACACGTGGCAGAGTTGTACTTATTTATTAGAATTAGGATATATATATATATATATATATATATATATATATATATATATATATATATATCAAAGTATAAACATCCCAGGCTAAACAAATGGTGTGTGCACTGCAATCATCTCGAGCTCTTCCCCTTGCTACCGGAAGTACCTGAAACCAAAACTGAAAACTGTAAGCACGGAGCTTAGTGAGTCTCTCCAAACTACCACATACCATACACATAATCATGTTACTAGGAGATACGGGCCCCGCCCACACTCAATGAGATACAGGCCCCGCCCACACTCCGGCGGCAGCCACCACCTCATGGTGGTGGTGATGGATTTTCTTCAACTTCCAACCGAGAATTGTCCAACCAACAACACACCATTACAATACATGCATTTCCACGATTACACACACACACAGCCACCTCCCACGGTGGCTGGTGGCAGCAGAAAGAGGCTATATGGCGGCAGCCACCATGGTTGGCTGCCATGGTGGTTACCCACGCTTTCCGGCCAGAAAATGCACACACACACACACTTCGTAATCACAGAAAAACACTACAAAACGTACCCACAACCACCATGTTCGCTGCAACGACGAACGAAGATATATCCCGAGAAGAGATACAGCCGCAAGGAGCGACGTCAATGGCGGTGACACGAGTTAGTTGATGTGGAGCAAAAACGGGGTGAGAAGGAGTGGTGGCGGCGGAGGAAACGGAGGTTGCGTTCTCGCCAACGAACGATAGCAGCAGCAGTGTCTCACGATTACGACGTCCCATGTGATGCTCTTCGTCGCTGTCGGAAGACTCATCGACGGTTTGGCTTTGGTAACTTCCGGCTTCAACAGCGACTAGGAGAGGGCGGCTGGATGACTTCCCCACGGTGGCAGCTGGCAAAAATTACGCATGGCGGCGGCTGAAGAGAGCTAGGGTTAGGGTTAGGAGATGCGACGAGAGGGAAAGAAGCACCAGTTTAATCCCATATCCCTCATTCAACTTATTTTCATTCTTCCAAGTTTAGTCCCTTACACTCATTATCTTTTCAAATTAACCCCAATAGTTACCAAACAACCCCTGCCTTCAGAAATCTTTATAAGGTGACTCCGAAAATTACACTTAGCCCCCAAAATTCCAAAGATTATGACATTGAAATCCCATGGCTAACATCCATAAATTATTATGGATTTAGGGCTTCAATAAAATAATATAAAATATCATTTACATCTCGGGTTCATTTATTTATTTATTTAATCTTATTTATTTAAATTCCAAAATAGAATGTTACAATTCTCCCTCACTTAGATTAGATTTCGTCCTCGAAATCATTCCTCACCATTCCCAACATGCCCAAAACCTTGAGCAACACGACCACAACTTCGTGCATACCCCAACCTTTCCTCAGGCAACCAAAATCCAAAACCGACCCTCGCAGGGTTCTAAAACCCGAAGATGAACAAATTCCTTGCAACACGATCACACTTACTCAATCTGAAATACGATATCTCGAGATGGTCTGACTCCCTGATAGACTGTCCATAGTGAAATATTGTCGAATCCAACCTGCTTGTCTCCCAATTGGCTACTCAACTTCTGATAACTTGAGGTTCTTACTAGAAAGCATAATCATAGACCAAATTTCCCTGCGGTACACTTATACTTGACAGAAGGCTTAGATAATCCTTCGAGTAGGAAACTCATCCCTGCAACGGTTAGACTCAGATGAGAGCTGCACAACAGGACCAAAGCATCTACTCTGAGATTATCCAAACTCATCTGCAAGTGACATGATATCTCCTCTGAATAACAAGAAACTCCCCACTCGAGTTCCAAATCGATAGTACCGCCTTGACTTATCTTGATGTCCTTTACCAATAGAACCATTCCAAGTCACAACACAAGAGCTTGATCTATCATCATAACTGAATCCATTCATTACCCTTGAACCCTTCTATCGATGCCCTCGTCACATAGATACCCAAATCCTCAACCCACGGAAACAAAAATTCTGCACAAAACACTCACGTTACCCGACTTGAGATCTTACCCAAAAATCCAACCTGATACTCAACTCGTAAACCGAGATCCATAGATTTGCACTTGTAATTTACCCAAGACCTTATGATAGCACCAATCCTTTTTGGAACGAGTCATAAAGGTTCCCAAGCCAATGCTGAGACTACCAATCTCGCACCTGGTCCAACCACCAGGTTCCTAAGAGTCCAAATAACAAAGTTATCCAGTCTATACACCCTTCTGTGTCACACACACTAACCACTTACTGAATCCTGAAACCTAGAATCCAATACTTTGACCCAACCGTCTCTACCAGGTCCCACCTACGCTACTATAAACAAACGGGCCTTGGCCACGGGTCCCACCCAAACTATACCACGGAGCGGCCTTGCCCACGGGTCCCACCTATCTAGAGTTACACAGGCCCAGTTCCACCTCGGACCCCAATGGTCCTCAACCCATAACGGAGAAATACTCCGTAACAATCCTGACTGGCGTGCCCAGGGCACAAACTGATTCCCCATTAACGCTCATATCCACTACCAATGACATACTATCTCAAGTAGGTGAATGCTACGATCCCATCGCAGTCTCACAACACTTCTAACCAAACCATGATCACTACCCCGGGTTTCATCACAACCCACCCATCTCAATTCCAATATCCTGAATCGAATTCCACATCAAACAAGAACAGGAAACGATGCTCTAACACAACTCTCGGTCTGGATCCATCCACAAACCTGCTATGCATAACAAGAAAATGTCGACCAGCTGTTGGGAGTTTCTCTGAACTCCCACTTACAAAACCTCGAACTAAACGGTCACTTGTGTCGTCTCTGTACCTAACCAGGATGCGAAACTTGTCCTAGTTCCACACCTGATCCAATTCCCGAAAAATCTGATCGCTTCCCCCCACTTGGATTCGGTGAAGCTCTTTCATCCTATAAGTCTGATGGATTCCCAACCCATCGAACCTCATATAATAGGAACTGCCTATAACCTGTGATTACCAATCTAGCGTTCCATGACTAGCCAAATCTCAACGATTGCCCAACTAATAGAATCCGGGAGAATGCTCTTGAGACCTTAACCAATCCGGTGATCCAAATCACCTCTCATGGCACCATGCCATTTCCTTGAGTTCTTATGCCTGCGACTAACAACTGTAACCCTTGCCATGCACTAACGAACCTCTATTCTAATTTCTATCCTCAAGGAATCATTGAACTCTAACCGACTTCAGTCCATGAGAAAAATATTGTTGGATAAGGTGTCTAAGTCCATAACTATATTTGGTATGTACTTGACCCGACCCGGCATGGTCCATTTGGGTTGCATGGCATCATGCACTTGGATAGACTAAATAAGAGAAATAAGACACTTATGGTTATTAATATATTATAAGTTCTAATATATTAATAATAAGAATAATAATATTTGGTTAGTATTGATCAAGAATTAATTTAGAATTAATTATGTGATCAAAAGAAGACTAATTAAATATATGGGTTGATTGTGTAAATCATCCATAACTTATATAGTGGGCCAAAAAGCTTCATGGATAATCAAGTTGGGTTAAACCCATAGGATGCTCCATGGAGGTTACATAACCCATGGGTCATGGAAATGAAAGGTCATGACAATTAGGGTTTACATGGTGTAACCCTAATTGTAACACACTATATAAGGATTAGCTTATTCACCAAAATCGACCACTAAGTGTGAAACAAGAGGGCATAACCGATTTCAAGAAGTGTTCTTATTCTCTTAAGTCATTCCAAGTGTACTTGGTGTTGTGTGAAGCATTTGAGGCATCACACTTGGGGTGCTAGGCTCTCAAGGTTTTCAAGGAATTAAAGCAACTACAAGGTATGTAATTCTAGCCATCTTTTAGTTTAAAAGTTCCCCATGTATGCTAGATAGGATTATGAACCTTGGAAATCATATTTTACATGTATTTTAGACAAACATAGATCCAAGGTTTTCTAGGGTTGCATGTACACTTAGGAGTGTTAGAATGCTCAAAACCCATCAAATACAATCCTCTTGACACATCCAATGATCAAACAACTCACGCAACTGACACCGTCATCTTCCTACTACCGTTCCCTCCCCAACAACGGCAATGCCTTGAACCCTAAAGTTCTTCTATAGGCAACTGTCGGTCATATCCGACTGTTGATAGAACCATTAAACCCTAACTCCACTGGAGAACTATCACGCTAACCCTAACCAAAGATCCTCCAAGAAACACCCCTGAATTGATCATGCCAAGGACCATGATAGACAATGGTACATACTGGAACCCACTTGACAAAATACGACAGACTTCCGACATGCAGAACGACATATCACACTTCTTGATAATATAATCCCGACAATAGCAGAAAATCCATCCAAGATGTTGCTTATCCAAATCCGAAGCCAAAATTCCCACACTAAACAAATTCCTGATAACCACCCAGAAGAAAACAGAAGATATCATATCTGCAAAAGTATCAAAAGGAATCCCAACCTCTTCCCACCAATCACGTGCCCTGTCCTTCAAGAGGCAGGAAGCAAGTCAGACCTTATCCCTCTTGGGACAACGACTGGTACGAAAAGCGTTGGCGACAACTGTCGACCATCTACTTCTAGCAATGGGGTCCTTAGCCCCATGATAATCTGGAGCTCCACGAGTTCTGAACTCCCGAAATGTCGACGTGCGCGTCCCTATCATGGCCACCATTTCGGTGTGGAATGTACCCAGCCTCTCATCACAAATCTCCAAATTTCCCTTCATGATCGTACCGAAGATCACAGGAGTCTGGTCAATGATACTGCGCGTAGTCTCAGATGAAGTGAACTCCCTCATCTGACCATCAAGCTGTCCGGCTCTAGAGTCCGATCGTGATCCCTCGCGGGCACCAGAACTACCATATGGTCTACCACGTAGTGTCACCATACTCGGAAGTATACCATAACAACCATCAAAATACTCATCATAACTCGAGGGATCTCACACACTACAAGTTCCCTGGGTTCATCTCAGCCTTCCTTGATTCGAGTATGGATCCTCTGCTTTCAGTAGTACGGGCCCATACTACCTTCTACATCTATTTGTACTTTCCTCAAGAACTGCCTTGACTCCACCAAGTCCCTTTCACTACTACTGCTCTGTATGCTAATCTCATCCCAGGCTTGCCCTAGGGTAATCACCGACCCACTCTCCGCTATCAGCTGCATAAGAAGTACCTGTTATCTCCCCCTAACTAGCTCGCGAATACCCTTACATATCATTAAGACTAGATAATTCTTCGAATGAGAGGTCCTACCCTACAACGGTTGGACTTAGACAAGAGCTGCGAAATAGAGCTAAAACTAACCTTCTGAAATTATTTAGTCCTCGTAATATGTATCTTGGCATATTTGTTTACTAGTTAGTCAAAGATAACTAGAACTCCTAAAATCACAAAGCAAGCAACATTCGAGCATTGAGTAAACATAATCAAGCATATCCTAATCAGGCCATCATATCACTGACTAATGAGTAATAGCATGCAGTTCATAAAGCTCATACATATATAACATGCACATAAGGCATCCTACCTAGATCCTTAGCCCTAATCTAGCATGCAATTCTCATAAGTCTGTCATAACATAAACTTATATGAGTAATTTGGGAGTACTTACTTGAGCTCGACTGATTGCATGCACCACACCCTTTTCTCTTCTCAAAATCCCTTTTGTAAAAATGGTTTTTCTTTTAAAATTTATACCAAGTC